AAGCAAGGGAAGCTGGCCTACAAAAGGCACAGGACACCCAAGCAGCAAAGGTCAAACCAGTGCAACAGGGCGAGACCCATGCGTGCATCTCTGTGCGTGCGCACACACAATCCTGCCATTTTCAACTCTGATAGAAATCTGGGGAAAGGAACTTGGTACTCCTCTCCCCTTTATATCAGCTTCCTGATAAAAAGAATCTAGCCACTGTTTTTCCAAAATTTAGCACAGTGGTGATTCTACCAAGTCCTTACCCCACATGGCCATATGGAAGTGTGTGTGCTGGAACAACTCGTGGGCCGTGCAGCGAGGGGAAGCAGCCCTCGTGAGCAGGCGCTTGTCTCTGTGGTCTTACTGTGTCCAGATCTGATAATAGCTAATTCCACCAAATATTAGAGGGGGCTCACATTTAATTAAGGAGTGGCCATTTGTATGCTCCAGTCTGGAGGTCCCCACTGCCCCGAAGTCAAAAGAAAGGCCCTTCAGGGAATATGCCAATCTTTTCTTATTTCTCTGCTGAGCTCCTGCCCTCTTTGAATGCAATTATGGGAACAAATAAAATGGCTTAACTCAACTCCCCTGTGAGACAGGCAGCTCTCTGCTGATAAAACCAGTTGTGTGGGCAATCATTAAATGAGAAATCTAATATTTAACTAAATTTAATAGTCTGTTGCTTTGGTGCTTTGCTGTGAAGAGTGGGATTTCAATAGAGAGGAAGGAGCTCTTCAAACGCAGCCTGTGTGGTAGTGAGCGTCTGTAAGACAATGTGCGTTCCCCCATGAAGCCAGAATGCCCAGCCTGGAAACTGGTAACAGGGTGTTTGGGGACAAGTCTGTGTCCTCATTAGCCCTAGGGAAACTTAACTCGGAGGGCAGCAAAGCAACATAGTGTGTCCTGGGTGTGAAACTCCTTGTTCAGCATTTGAGATTTCAGAGTGATGTACATCAAATTCAGGCACATCCATGTGGGGATGAAAGCTTATTTTAATAAATAGTGAGAAGGTCTGTCCCAATCCTCTTGCATTTTGAAATTTAGTGGTCCACACTGGGCCTTGCCACCAGCCCCACCTCCCCAGCTGAAAGCCACACAGGCCCCGAGCAGCAAAAGCTGGTTGATGGTGGCTGCCCCCTCTTTGTTCTGCTTCTAAAGGTGTTCTGCCTTTTCTTTTCCTTACTACACGTCTTCACGAGTTTCCATTCCTAGAAATTGACCTGCAGACCCCAAAGCCCTTGCCTGTTATCCACATTGGCGGATCACGTAGACAGAATGGTAAAGAAGGCAGGTTCTCTGAGGGTCATGGCTGGCCTCCAGTGGGACAAGACTTCAAGACCACCCGCTACAATCCCTGCACTGGTCTCCTACAATAAGCTTGGGTTTGAGTTCTATTGATGAGTGAGTACTATTGATGAGCTGCCTCATAATCCCAGCGTTAATTGAATATTCACATATATATGCCATGAGTCTTTCAAGCACCAGAAAGTTTTCAATCAATTTAATGAAAGTTTGCTCTGATTTCATGATGCTTTTTGTCTTGTGCATGGAACTGTGGTTGACAACCAGGCCTCAGTTTCTTCAACTCTTGCCATTCAACAGTCTGAACCCTGGAGACTTTCGAGAGCTTGGGGCTTTCTGGAACACCCAGGAGGACCTCTCCATCCTGTTTAACTTCTTCGAGACCTTTCTGGGGCCATAGCAAAAGGGCCTTGTTTGACAAGGAGAAAAACTTGGGTTAAAACCCAGACTCAGCTACTGTCAAAATATGCTTAATTTCCAGATTTGAATGGGATTTCCACAAACAGATCTACCCAGATTACCAAAAACCTGGGTGCAATTTGTTCCTGGGCTTGGGATTGAACACTTGATTCCTTAGGACAGGGAGGAATTCAGCCAGACAAATTAGTAAATTCTTACATTTAATGTAAAGTTGTTTCTGGAGAGGTTGAGGTGGTGCCTGAGGTAGGATGTTCAAGTCTTGTCTTTGAGAAGGGGACAACACAAAGAATATTCCAAATGTGGGGTAGCAAAGGCCCCGAGGCAGCAAAGGACTTAGAAAATAATGTTCCTTTCCATTATCCTGCGCTGTTTCCTTCTAGTCTTCCCACCCTACAAATGTGAATACAGCATGGATAATAGTCTCGTAAGTCAGTTCCTCTCAACTGACTGTATGTGCCTGGAGCACTGTGGGCTAAAGGGCTGAGGTTTTTTTTTTTTTCTTAAAGATTTTATTTGCTTGAAAGACTTACAGAGAGAGAAGGAGAGACAAAGAGATCTTCCATCCACTGGTTTACTCCCCAGATGGCCGCAATGGCCAGGGCTGGGCCAGGCCAGTGCTAGGAGATTGTTCTGGGTCTGCCACGTGGCTGGCAGGGACCAAACACTTGGGCCATTTTCTGCTGCTTTGCCCAGGCCATTAGCAGGGAGCTGAATCAGAAATGGTGCAGCTGTGTTACAAACTGGCTCCCGTATGGGACGCTGTCATCACAGGCGGTGATGTTACTACGCCACAATGTCAGCCCCAGGGCTGAGGTCATTTGGACTCAGCAAAGTGAGTTCTGCTCTGATGGGTTAGGAATATGGGCTATGGTGTGAAGCAGGCTGTGAAGGTGCACGTGCCACCCTGAGGTAGAGTACGCCTCCCCTATCCTGCACGCGTGATCACAAGACAGAGCTTGCAGCCAAGTGTCTGGGCCTCAGCGTTAAGGTCAAGTCTACTTGGCATTCCCTTAAACACTACCACCACACACACCCTTTGCAGTCACAGCTGTGCTTTTCTGCTGTCTACAAGGGACACTATTTCTCGCATGCTACCTAGTATTCATGATCTTTCCACAACAGTGGTCTAACTAGACTTAACTATTCGAAAAACTAGTTTTACCATTTCTCCTCTGACCTTGACATCAAAGCTCAGTATTCCGAGAGGTGTCCAGCAGCTTGCAAGTCCCTTTTGGTTTTCTTTGCTTCTCACAAGCACTGGGAGATTTTACTTGCTTCTATTTCAGTATAAGAAGTTGCCCATCCTGCTCATAACAATCATTAGAATCCTGAATCATGTTTTATGCTGAGTGTTGCACCACTCATAAAAGTCACTCATCGTTAGAGTCTGCTTTAAGAGTGATAAAATAACCTCTAATTGTCTTTGAGAAATGTACACTTATATAGCACCTTTCTTTAGAAGTGAGTTGTTATGAGAGGATAGGTTGACATTCCTTGTAGCATTGTTTGTGATATCATTTTACTCTTTTAAACATTTGTGAACTGCAGCAGTTTCAAAGTGATTTGCTGAACTAAAGGTATGGTTTCTGGAAGCTGAAATGTCCTTTCATGATGGGCTATCACTTGGAATCACATGTACACTGGAGAAGAGAAGCCAGATGGTTTTGATTACGTATCTGTTGGGGAAATCAGAGGAATGGTCCTTCAGTACACTAAGTGGGCTGATGAGGGGCTCCTTGCAGCTGGATAACAAACATTACGAGGGCATGTGTGTATTACTACAACATAAGGAACAGAACACCCACACAGCTAGGCCATAGGCACGGAGTCATGCTGAGTGTCTGCTGGTCTGGCTGCATTGCAAAGTGTGGCTCTTGGGATTTCACTGCCAATGAATACATAAAACAAATTAAAGTCTCCACAGATCAGCTAACCCTACCTGCAAGGGTAGCATTATACTGGACCAGCCAGGGTAGCCTGCTGTCCTCAATTTCAACCTCAAGTGTTATCATTTTTTCCAAGAGGAACAGGTCCATTTACTCTTAATCAAGTGACAAGCCAAGTAAGGCAAAGATAGTTCCCAAATTAACCAGTTTCTTTCAGTGCTCACAAAAGCAGAACAAGCAAAAGGAATATATATATATATATATATGTATGTATGTATGTATGTATATAAAAAATGGTGGACAAAATTAGGTGGAAGAACACTGCTCAAGCAGAGAGTGGTAGTAAGGCTCCACACACCATACATCCACAGGAGAAATTTTCCAAATGGCCCAGGAAAACCCACCCCTTCAATACGCTGCCCAACAGTTCCAAGTGCCAGATGCTGTCAAGCTGTCAATGATGAAGGAAGAGATTTGCACCCCAGCAGAGCCTCCAGCAGCCAGTGCCTCTTCCAAGTGGATTTTTGCAAGGAGTAGAGTCCCAGTGAAATGTGTCTAAAATGGCAGTTTGAAGGCACTAGTATTTATTGCAGAAAGGCGTATTATCTTTCAGATATCACCCTTGGAGCAAAAAGTTCCAGACCAAGCTCTCTCATTGCATGCTGGCTCTCATTTGTCAGTGTGGCCATCAGTCAGCCAGTAGAAAGCAACAGGACTCCTTGCTATTGGCCAACAGTTGTCAGTGTGGACACCAGCCAGTGTGCAGTTCAAAAAGGCCCCCCTGGCTCTCAGCCAGCCACTTGGCTCAGTTACAGCTTGTGTTACAAGAAAAGGCTCAAATGGAGTTAGTGCTGTCAAAGCATAGTCATATTAATTATAATTAAATACCAATTTACAAGAATCATAACACAGCAAAACACATCTCACAGCAGCAGGAATTCTGAATCTTTCTGAGTCAATTTGACAAAGATAACACTCAGTGTACACTCTCCCTTCCTCCCCTCATGATATGGCCCCTAGATGTAGACAACCACTTGTCCTAATAGTTTTAATATTGGCTTTCCTAAAAAGCAGTAGTCTTGAGATGAAGCATAGCAAAACCTAGCCATGTCAGAAATGTCATGGAAAGGAGAGTCTATGAGGAGAGAGGGGAAAGCTTAATGGAGTGGGGGAAGTCTTCTGTCTTCCCAAGACCATGGTGTGGGACCAGGAGTCCTATCACGTACCTTGGGCAATTTCTTCAATGTCTCAGTCTCTTGGTCTATACTACAGGACTGATCCTAATTATTTCCAGTACTGATGCAAAAATCATGAATGATGTGTATGAGCACATGGAAACCCATGATTCGGATGTAATAATGATTACTGAATCTCAATGTGAATGGTTTTTTTTTTCTCTTTCAGAAATTTTTGACCTAGAAACAAATGAACATGTACAGAAGGCCATAAGTGACCGACAGATGCCTAAAATAGAATACCGGAAAATCGAGGTTGATGATTATAGTAAGTGCTACTTTTTTCTTCCCCTTTGAAAAGAAAAATAAAGCATCTGCTTTGAAACTGCTCAATCAGGGTAACTGCCAGTCACTGGGCAGGGACAGATTGAGTTTGGAACCCGGATACTCACACTGGTGCCAAACCAAGCAAGGCAGAGCACATGATTTATTTCCTAGAGAAGCCAGCAGTGTAGGTGAGATCTCAGACGAACACCTCCTTTAGCGAATGTGTTATGACACCATCATAGGAAACTATTTCCCTAGAAATGCCTTCTCAGTCATTTGCTGTCCTGACCACATCACTTCACCCCTAAATGTTGATGATGGCCTGAGGTGGGGCATCTTTGGAAAGATAATATAATGAGGGATTCGTGAGCTATGACAACCTGAGAAATATCTACCACTCTTCCTATCTGTGTGCCTTTCTTTCTTTTGGACTCATTCACTAAGTTTTTATGAGAACTAACTCTTTGGTAGGCACTAAAAACCCCCCAGAGACTGGCTGGAAAGGGACTCACAGCTCCAGGAGGGAGGCAGAGTTCTCACAGCTTCACTCTCATCTCCATGCCGATGGCTCCCAACTCCATCAAGCCAGCCCTGGAATCCCGAATGGCCACTAGTTTACCATGGGAAGCCCCAAATGTAACACACCCACAACAGAGCTCACTCTTTCCCCCAAAACTCTGTCCCCCTCCAGACTTTTCTAGATGTGTGCATAAGCACCCTTTGGTTTGCTGGTTGGTGTCAAATAACTTCAAACCTTGAAGTTGCCTTCGAATCCTTCATTCCCATCCCATCTGCCCATTAGCTCTGAGGTTATGAAAAGGTTTGTCCTCCGGTGTAACCAGTGGAGTTCTTGTTGAAGGGAAGGTTGCCAAGACCCCATGGGAAGTAGTGTCAAGATGGACCACACCGCAGTGCCGGAGCTCAAGGGGTAAGGGAGGGGTTATACACCTTGCATGTGCTGTCCCTACACCACCTATGGAGCTGTTTGCTCTTTCCAATAAGGTGATGACTTTTCACCTAGGTCAGCATACCCTGGAGTTTTAGCAAGCATCCCCTGTGCCCAACTGCTTAGACAAGATATAGCCACTTCACAGACTCTGTTCCTACGAGCAGGGACCAAGGCTTACCCTGTATGACAGACCCCAGTAGTATGCACTATAAAGCTGCGTCATTTGCCGCAGAAAGTGGATGGCACTGGAGTTCCGAGAAGAGCATGAGAATGCACCAGGTCATGTGGGATTCCAAGGGGGTCCTGAAGCAGTGTTAGGTTGGCCTGGAAGAGGACATGGTGGGTAGGGGTGATCCAGAAGAGGGGATGACCACCTGGGGCTTAGGCAAGACTGAGCATAGTTTACTGAGGGTAAGTCGAGGGGCTGTTCTGGATTCCAGCCCACAGAGAGCCCCAGGGTATGACCAATGCAAGCCACCCCTGCAGTCCATCCCTTGTCCATTTGACAAAAGCACCTGGGTCACATTACTTAGCCACAGGACATATATTTCTTTTTGTTGGCTTGTAGGGTAACCTCTCCACCTCTGAAGGTTGGAAAAGTCCAGAAATAAGTATGGCAAATCCTGCCAACTTAAATCCACATTCCCCCCCCCCCTTTTTTTTTTTTTTGGACAGGAAGAGTGGACAGTGTGAGAGACAGAGAGAAAGGTCTTCCTTTGCCATTGGTTCACCCTCCAATGGTCGCCACGGAAGGCACGCTGCGGCCGGCGCACAGCGCTGATCCGATGGCAGGAGCCAGGTGCTTCTCCTGGTCTCGCATGGGGTGCAGGGCCCAAGCACTTGGGCCATCCTCCACTGCACTCCCGGGCCACAGCAGAGAGCTGGCCTGGAAGAGGGGCAACCGGGACAGAATCCGGCGCCCCAACCGGGACTAGAACCCGGTGTGCCGGAGCCGCAAGGTGGAGGATTAGCCTAGTGAGCCGCGGCGCTGGCCTCACATTCCCTTTTAATATACCACAAATTGTGACCACTCAGGAAGGGGATCATGAAGTCAATGAATAGAGTCTTAGGAAGGGGTTCAGAGGAAGGAGAAGAATTTATTGGAAAGAAAAAAACAGAAATGGAGACGGTCATGGTCTGTTTTGGCCAATGATCATGTCTGTGTTCACTAGGACTATTGGTTCCACCCTCCCTCTGAACCCACCGTAGCCTTCTTGCATTGCTGGTCCTACCCAGCCTGGGAGGCCAGGCTGTCCTACTACAAGATCCCATTCTGAGCACCTTAAACCCAACCTCTTCGCTCTCCATCCTATGCTATTCGTTTCTATCCCAATTACATTTCCAAGTTCTGGAGCACAGCCTGAGGCTGAGTGAATGTCACCCTCTCTCAAAAAATGCAGAAGCAAATAGCCAATTTTCCCACCCGTGGCACCTGCTCTCTCCAGCATGGGCTTGAACCTGAAAGGTAAACAGACAGGACACAAGGAGAGAGGGCGCAGCTGCGTGTGCAGGGACAAGCATCACAAAATCCTCCCTGGGCATCAGGATAAACCTGGTCCATGTCAGCCCTGTTGACCTGCTTTTGTTTTGTTTTGTTTTGTTTTGTTTTCCCTCTCTCAGTGCCACAGGCCCAAGCTTTACTTAGAACAGTGAGCAGCCTTTGGGACAGGCTCCCTGAATGGTGTTCAGCCAGATGAGCCAGGTTTCCAAGGTCTGCCCTTGGGCTTACCAAGGGCAGATAGCAGCCTAGGCCATGCTTTATGGATATTTAAATGATAAAGTCCATTTATCACCATGCCTGCCTCTCCACCAGTCCCTGGGCCATTGATCCAATTTGCAAGCTATTAACCACCCAGCTTAGGGTGTGTCTGTGTAGTAATTGTAAGGAAAGGCCACTAATTCCATTTTAATTGCTGTGCCTCTGGTAATCTGGGTTGTGGGTAACACCAGTAAACAAATTCTAACTTGGTAGGAAGGTTTGTCCTGGGGGGAGAGAGGGTGAGAAGAAATTGATGAGGCAATTTCTTGAGTTTGGGTTCTTAGTCCCTCTCCCTCCACCCACTGGATTTCACTACTCCCAAGCACCAGATCTGCTGTCTGCGGTAGCTGCAGGCACGGTGGGGCTGTACCAATTCCTTCCCCAGTGTCCCCTTCTGGCCCCAGCAGTCACACGCCCAGCAAGGCCCCCTGGCTTTCCAGGAAGCTCCTCAACGGGCTTTCATTCCCCTACCACCACCCAGGTTTTACCCCCTACCTCTCAGTCTCTTCCTCTCTCCATCCGCACTGCTCACAAATAATCTGGGCCCAGATGTGTGGTCAACATAGCAGCTGGAAAGGGAACACATGGCTTGAACACTCTGCTGCACTTGGCAGACTTCGTTTCTCCTTGCATGGATTTCTGCTGCTCACCAGCGCTGGTGGTGATGGCGTCTTCTCTGTTTTTCAATGCAATACCGTATGCAGGACTGAATGTAAGCTTCAGATGGAGAAACTAAACCTCACAGAAGTTGGGTCATTTGCCTGAGGTCACCCCAAAAGCCAGAGAGTCACAGAGATGGAGGCTGAGGCTAGCCTCTTCCTTTGGAACTTCCCCCTTGCTTCCCGTCAATGGCCATGAGCATTTCCCACCCTGCAGACAAAGACACCTCTAGGTCCACACTCTACTAACCTGCTACTCTGTTCCATCTCTCCCCAGGTTTGCCAATGCAGATCCTCAAGCCAGCAACCTTCACAGACACTGCCCACTACCCTTTGCTCCTGGTAGTGTAAGTATTGTGGCCTCTGTCTTTGTTGGGGTGCTTCCATTGGGACTCAAGAAGTGAAGATGAAATTCATAGGGAAAGACGAACAAGAGAAAAGATGTTGTTCCAAACTAAACACTTAAGAAAATGTAGCTCATCAACACATGTTGGGTTCTTTCCACAACTCTTGGAGGTCCCCAGAGGTGAAAGAAGAGAGAAGGGACTCTGTGCCCTCCTCTGCATTCTGCTTCAGGACCATCTGCTCCAGCGAAATAAGTCAGATGATGGGACCCATCCAACAGTGACGGGTAAAGGTTTCAGATATAGTCAGAACACTCATCAAGGAAGGACCATGCATTGCAGGACAGGCTGGCTCTGGTCCTAAGAAACAGATATAGGATAGACACAAACCCCACCAGTGTCCTAGATCCAAGCCTCACCAGCAATGTCTTTGGCACTGGGCAAGCTGGCATCTCTAGCTACTGCCCTGAACATCACTTCAGGGCAAACAAAGAATTATTTCCACTATCCTATGTTAACTGACAAGCCCTCTAGCTTAGTTTATGAAAATAACTTTAAAAAGATTTATTTATTTTATTTGAAAGAGTTATACAGAGAGAGATAGAGAGGCAGAGAGATAGAGAGGTCTTCCATTGCTGGTTCATGCCACAACGGCTGGAGCTGCACTGATCTGAAGCCAGGAGCCAGGAGCTTCTTCCAGGTCTCCCATATGGGTACAGGGGCCCAAGGACTTGGGTCATCCTCTATTGCTTTCCCAGGCCATAGCAGAGAGCTAGATCAGAAGTTGGGCAGCTGGGACTCGAACCACATAGGATGCCGGCACTGCAAGAGGCAGCTTTACCCGCTACACCCCAGCACAGGACCTGAAAATAACTTTTGAAATGCTCTCTACACACCTCTGAAGATGTGAAGTCTGATGATAATTTGATGCTAGCTACCAACCCCTGGGTATGCACTCCGTTGAACTACTTCAAAAACCCACTGCCATCCCTGGGGTTTCCATGAGGGTTAACTTGTGTTCACCCAGGGAAGCATTGTTAGAGGCAGGCACCACCCAGATGTTGAACAAATTTGCTTACTCCCCTCAAGACCCGAGATGCAGAAACTACCGAGCTCTTGCTGAAACCTGAGGCCTCCCCAGAGTGTCTGCAGGGGGTCAGGCTAGAATAGAGGCCAGAACTGGAGTTATTTTGGGAACAGTAGAGTGGTTTTTCTCGAGTAAGCATCAACTATCCCAGTGGAGTTCTGACGTACCCTGGTTGTCTTGCCCTGCTCCCATCCTGGGGTCTCTGTCCCTAGGTAGCCAAAAGGTGTCATTATAGAGATGTCTATGGCATGAATTCTAATATCTAACTCCGTTTTATAACTAATCTACCTTCCTTGATACCTAGGTGATTTAGCACTGCCAAAAATCACACACACACACACACACACACACACGTACATACCACTGTTGACAAAAATAATCAGTCTAGTTGAAAATCAAAGTTTATTCAGCGAGTCACACGGAAGACTGAAACCCAGACAGAGCCAATCAGTTGCCTGAGTTGGCTGCTCTGCTAGTCTGAGTTTGGTTCTAGGTTTTATATTTTTATTACAGGATGGGTACAGACATTGAATCAAGTTTAAACAATACAGGTTTATGTGTATATCATTAATCACACTGAAAAAAAACTCAGAATGCCTGGTAATAGCTAACAGCCTTGATTCTTGATAAAGGGGCATGTTACATTCCCACACTGGCTCCCACACTAGATGTTATCTACTTTCAGGGAGACGCAAACAATGAGGCCATGAGTCACTCTTGCTGCTGTGGCCCCAGACATAAAGCTCCCTCCTTAAGGAATGGTGGATGTCTCCTTGGTCACAGAGTAGAAAGATTGTGTTATCTGAGAAGCAGCTGCAGGGACAGCATCTGCGCTGACTTGGGTCTCCGCTATATGACTGCACCTTAAATCCACACGGCCATACCCCACACACACTCACACTCACACCTCTCTCATACTGCCTCCTTTCTCCCTTACCAAACCAGATCTTTGCCACTTTCTCAGAAAGGCTAATAATTTTCAAACCAGCTTTCTTCCTCTGTGCACTGATTTCTTCAGTAATCTTAAAGTAAATCCCAAAAGGCTTCTCAGTTTATAGAATTATTCAGGTCCCTTTCTGCAGTAAAAGCGGTAGAGCCCCTTCAAGGCTGCCTGTAGTTTCCTTCATTCAGATGGGACCCACTGAAAAGCTAACCCTCTGTGCACAGTGGCTGCTATCTGCCTTATTAGCTAGCCTGGGAGGCAGTGTCTTTTTGCTTGTTTGTTTCTTGCTGTGAGTTCAAACGTGACAGCAAGGAAATTTAGAGACCTCAAGACTCCAAAGGAATGGTACTGGGTGGCCAGCAACTGCTTAAAACAATAATGACAAAACATATACTTCATATAGAACCATGTCGTGACAGGACACAGTGATTAACATGTAGCCTTCAAATGCCACCTACCCTTTCCTCCCCCTACTCTGCACCCCCATACCTCATCTGCACCCCTCAGTCCTCAATAGAAAGACAAGATGGCAATGGGGGGTCCTAGCTGCCACCTCTTAAGTGACCCCTTCCCGAGGACACATTTGCCATTCCTTGGTCTTCCTGGCAGGCAGGGTGGCCTTTAGATGCTAGCTCTCTCTCCTTCTCATCCTATCCCCATCAAAAGGAAAAATAATTTAAGATTCTGCCCCATGCCCACTGATGTACCAGTAAATGTTTAACCACCAGTCCTCCACTGAAAACAGCCGTGTTGGTAGCACTGACCAATGTCGTGGTGTCAATTCTCTACCTTGATGACTCGGAGAACAGTGTGCCATCAGTGGTGGGGGGCTAGAAGCAGTGAGTGTGGTGGAACTCCCCACACTTTGCTTATCCACTGCCCAAATACAAGCTTGTGCCTCACTTTCCGAGGAGACACAGGGAAAGGCCAGCCAAACAGCATGTATGCTGTCTTTTGCTAACTGAACCAACAGAAAGGTAATCTTTTCAAACCAGGGATGACACTAAAAGGAGTCAACACATTCTTATCACTCATGCAATATTAGGAAAGTACTCCAAGAGGAGAAATTGGGAGGATTTTAAGTGTCCCTCACCAAACAACTGCTGTTTGATGACTGTCTTGGAGGAGCCATTGTGTTGAGGGATGGCTCTGGGTGCCTTGGGGCTCTTTAAGGTCTGGTTTTCTGGCTCACCTACCATTCACCAGAGAGAAGTCATGAGGTTCTTGTTTTCACACGTGAGACAGAGAGCAAAGTAGCAAGGTTTTATTTATTAGGGACAGGGCATCCATCAGAGCGGAATGGAAGGAGGGTGAGTGCCCAGTCACTCAGCCTGGGGAAAAGCGAGGTTACATGGCTGAATGGAATACACCTGGCACTTGGCAGAGTGGAGAGCTGAGCGTACATCTTTGTTCAGACTCAGGGCTTATAAGGGAAGTGTCCAGTTCATTTCCACCTTTTCTCTTTACCTCCTTCCTCCCCCTTCTCCTCCAGGGCAAAGGGTTTGCTGAGTGTAATTTAGGAAATTCCTCCCCCCACCCGTTTACTAACCAGTATTATCAGGGGTGGGGTGAGGGTGGGGGCATCCTGGTGCCAGGCCTAGGGCACCTGCCTTGGAGGTAGGATGTTTATCAGGCCAGTTCACCCATTTGGTGCTGAGGAGAGAGAATTCTGGGAGCTTTCCTTGGGGGAAGGGCTGGGACCACCTGGAAGGTTATCAGGGTCCAAGCAGGACTTTGAAGTGTAGATGCTGGGCCCCTCTCACACACACAGAGGCTAATTCCTAACTTCCTGCCTAACACCAGGAGACAACAGCATGGGGCGGGGGTGGGGTAGGAGCCGGGCATATGGCTGCCAGGCAGAGGATAGGACTCCTTAGGAAAGAACCTAAGACACAGCATTTCTGCTAGACTAGCACTAGCCCACCTCATACCATGCTGAGTCCTTGAACTGTCTTTTTCCAGGGATGGGACCCCAGGGAGCCAGAGTGTGGCGGAGAAGTTTGAGGTAACCTGGGAGACGGTAATGGTGAGCAGCCATGGGGCCGTGGTGGTCAAGTGCGATGGCCGAGGCAGCGGCTTCCAAGGGACCAAGCTCCTGCACGAAGTGCGGCGGCGGCTGGGCTCTTTGGAGGAGAAGGACCAAATGGAAGCTGTGAGGTGAGTGCCGGACCTGGCTGGTGCCGGGGAAGGGAGAAAGATGGAGAGTGGACAAGTTCTTGCCATGGGGGCTGCGCATGGGCACAGCAGGTGCCTTGTGTCAAGGCACACCATTTACAGGGAATTTGCTAATACTTACAAAGTTAATTTCAAGGAAAACTACTAGTGGTGGTCTCCTAAACACTTCTATACTGGTTTTCCCTTATCTAGGTAGTTTATTTATTTGACTTGATGTTTGAAAGGTGCTAGAGGCAGAGACTGAGTTGGGTCTGCTCAGTGTCTCTGTACAGTGGTCACAGACCTTGTCTACACACATCTTTGTCATTCATAACAAGGGGAAGAAAGGGGTGGGAAGGAAGGAGAGATAGAAAGGAGAATCTGCATGGGAACGGAGCCATACAAATGGGCTACTCCCATGATTCCTGAGAAAACAACCCTGTGCTCACCCAGTCACCGGTCAGAAGTGCCTGCTCCATGCTGACGAGGGACCTAGTCTTGCGGCATCATTTCCTCACCTTCCTATCACGGAGTCAGCAAGGCCAGCTGACTACTACAGAGAACAGAAAGAAGCTTAGCACCAAGGAACAGATGCTCAAAATCATTTATTGAGTGTTATTATTATCCTGAAAATCAGACATCAAGAACCCGTGCCTGGCTGCAACTGGCCTTCAGACTCACTGCAGAAATAGAGTTCTCACAGTCTTAGCAGCACAGAGGACTTTGGAGTGAAACATGACTTCACCACACAGAGGTGTCGCAAGAACTATTCGCCCAACCCTACAGACTCTTGTAATGCCAAAGAGGGCGAGAAAAAGCACTTGTGACAGAGATTTTCCCTAAATATAATCCAGATACAAACACAGCCAACAAAGACCCAAGCTCCCCATCTCTCCACTCACCCAACCACAGTGGCTTCAACCTAAGCAGACTTTCCCAACACCCACAGGGTGGCTTTCAGTAATACTCGGCTCCATGCTTCTCCATTCACGTCCAGCAGTTTGGGGAGGAAGTCACTTCCGGGAACTTCTAGAAATGAAGGCAAGAGCCTCTCCTAGAAGTAGCCAGCAAGCCTACCTTATCCTGCCCACCACCAGCAAGAAGTAAGACATGTGGGGTCAGCCTCCTGGACAGAGGAGAAAGGGTGAAAGGTGAAGGCTTTTTGGAGGGAAGGGTGAAACCTGGAAGGCTCTTTGGAGGGAAGAGCTTGTGGGGCTGTGACTTAGATCAGCAGCCCCACGAGGGCTCCCCTTGCCTCCTCGACCTCCTCCTATAGACCTTGGCTGCTTTCCCCTGTCATCTTCTGCTCTTTCCTTGCCCCACCCAGTCTCACAGCTCCCAGAGAGACTCCGGGACCTCTTCATCACTACTGAGAACCCAGGTGGAAGTTCAAGTTCCCTCCAGGCTCACTTGCAGGTGTATAGCTCCATTTAGCTGCTCCTTCAGAGCACGGGAACAAGAGGGCAAAATGCTGTCCCATACTCACATTGTTTGCTTTTCTTTCAAAGATTTATTTATTGGGCCGGTGCCACGGCTCACTAGGCTAATCCTCCACCTGCGGCGCCGGCACACCGGGTTCTAGTCCCGGTCGGGGCGCCGGATTCTGTCCCAGTTGCCCCTCTTCCAGGCCAGCTCTCTGCTATGGCCTGGGAGTGCAGTGGAGGATGGTCCAAGTGCTTGGGCCCTGCACCCCATGGGAGACCAGGATAAGCGCCTGGCTCCTGGCTTTGGATCAGCGTGGTGCGCCAGCTGTAGCACGCCAGCCGCAGCGGTCATTGGAGGATGAACCAATGGCAAAGGAAGACCTTTCTCTCTCTGTCTTTCTCTCTCACTGTCCACTCTGCCTGTCAAAAAAAAAAAAAAGATTTATTTATTTATTTGAAAGAGTTAACGCAGAGAGAGAGGTCTTCCATCCACTAGTTCACTCCCCAATTGGCTCTACACCACAGTGCCAGCCCCTCACATTGTTTTTTTTTTTTTAATTTTTTTTATTTTTTTTTATTTTTTGACAGGCAGAGTGGACAGTGAGAGAGAGAGACAGACAGAAAGGCCTTCCTTTTGCCGTTGGTTCACCCTCCAATGGCCACCGCGGCCGGTGCGCTGCAGCCAGCGCACCGCGCTGATCCGATGGCAGGAGCCAGGAGCCAGGTGCTTTTCCTGGTCTCCCACGGGGTGCAGGGCCCAAGGACCTGGGCCATCCTCCACTGCACTCCCTGGCCACAGCAGAGGGCTGGCCTGGAAGAGGGGCAACCGGGACAGAATCTGGCGCCCCGACCGGGACTAGAACCCGGTGTGCCGGCGCCGCTAGGCGGAGGATTAGCCTAGTGAGCCGCGGCGCCGGCCTCCTCACATTGTTTTTTAAAAATAAGGAATTGACCCAGCCTTCTGTTCAAAAGCGAGGCAGAACCTGTTCTGAAAAAGCAATCAATAGGTATATATTAGTCAGCTTTTCATCACTATGCTAAATACCTGAGAGGTGTTTAGTATAACAATATAATCTTCCAGGTAGGATGGAAGATTTATTTCAGCTCCTGGTCCATTAGTCTGGCACCAGATGAGGATAGAGGTTAGCCAGTGTGTGAAGAGCAACCATCACTTGGCGAGTCAGGGAGCACACTAGTGTGGCTGTGGTCTCTCCTTATAAAGCTGCCACAGCTGGATCATGGGAGCTCCAGTCTAACAAGCCAGTCTAATCCAATCCCTCTCAAGGTCTCACCTTTGGGCACCATCACTAGAGTGAGTTCCTTTCTTAATCCATTGACATCACTCTCTGGGGACCAAGCCTCCAACCCCTGGGCCTTTGGAGGATAACCAGACTATTATCCAAACCATAACAAATGTCAACTCTGAAGTCACTGACACCCGCCAGACGAGAGCACCTTGACAACCGCAAAGCCTGTAGCCTCTATAAGACGGACTTTCTCAAGAAGCTGATCCCCACATGTGTCCAGGTATAGAAACTCTGACCAAGCTTTCTGTAGAAGCTGGGTATTTCATTGCAGAAATATCCCGGTTTTCTCAAAAGCTTAAAAATGGAGAGAGCTACCCATCATGTGAACTTCCTCTCCCAGTTCTCTCCTCTCCCTTGGGTCTCACTTCCTCAGCAGCTGACATGATCAGGTCCTCAGAAGCAAAGAGCCCTTCCTAGAAAGGCTTCTGAAAGGAGGTGGCATAGGGCAAAGACCTTGACAATCAAACAGGGATTTTCCGGACAGAAATGGGGAGGTGCAAGCTCTACACAGAGAAGATGCTATGAACGAAAACTTGGGATCATGCAAAGGAATAGTGCCTTCTTCTACTCACTCAATTCTCTTTCCTCTGGCTTTCTTAATTTTTCTTGTAGTTGATTTTAATTGCAAAATACAGCACAGACACGCAAAACCACACAGAACAACGCATGGCTTAATGAGTTATGTTACAGCAGACACTTTGGTGACTACCACTCAGGTCAGGATAAGAGCCTTGCTCGCTGTTCCAGAAACCTGGCAACATATCCTACTCTAAATCAAAACTGCCTTTATTTTTATGGCTTCTTGTTATTTGGGGTTTGATTTAGGCTCTCTTGTTTGGAAGATTTCTTAGACTGCTGATCAAGTCTGGCGGCCTCCCCGTTGTAAGGGGAAGGCCCTCAAAGCTGAATGCATATTCTGTGAGTACAGTGCGACCCGCCGGCAGGTGAGCGTCACCAAGGGTCGCCGGGTTGCTGGCTCCCTCACCGGAAGGCCCACGGATCTCGACATCACGATGCATTTCTACAGGACACTCAGCTTCTCCTGCCGCATCAGCACCGACCTGGCCAGGGAGCAGCCTGAGGGAAGCACTGTTTCAGTGTACACCTCCCAGGGCCCCACAACCTTGCCCTTGGCCTTGCCCTCCACTGAGCCCAGAATCTGAGACCTGCTTGGTTTCCTGCAGGAAAGGAGGCCCGGAAGTAGAAGGGACACATCTGCAGGTCATACAGCTCATCAGTAGCAGAGCAGGAACTGGACGTAAGGAATCCTGACCCTGAGATTGGACACTTCCGGAAGTCAAGGCCTGTAAAATACTCAACAGTTGCCCCCAAGACCTAGCACAGGGCCTTATAACAAATGACAGGTTCTCAATAAATTGATGACAAGAATGGAGATGGAAAAGGAAGAGTAACATCCCAGTTGTCTCACTCTCAGCTAATATTCTAAAATTGGAATGAAACAAACTACTGCGTGAATCAATTTTCCGAAACTCTAGAAAAACCCATGATATTAAAACAGTGATATACAAAGGATGCCAAAGTCATCTGAATTTCCACCATTTGGAGAAGTTAAGGAAATCTCTGGCCTGTGGAAATTGCTGCTCTGGGCAGCCCTTCTTCCCCTGAACTTGTGTCCACCTCTCTGACAGAGGAAGAGCGGCGGAGGTACTCGCCATTCTAACCCTAAAGGCTGCCCATGTCCACATCCATGGGGTTCCTTGGAGAGTTGGCTGGAGTGGGATGAGCACCTGGGGGCCCAGTACCTGAGGTTTACATCTCCTACCAGCTGAGAAGGGCAATTAGAAGGGACCGAGTGGCTCCACGCAACCACCAGAATGTAGAAAACAGGAACAGGAAAATAACCACCACCAAGTAGAGAGAAATGGGAATATCGGGGAAGCTGAAGGGCAGGAGACTCTGGCAATGGTAAACTCATGGAAATAAACACGATTCTGAGACCCAGAGAGCAACCAGTTATCATGGGGGAGTGCGGCAGAGGCGGGGGTGGGGGTGTCTGCCAGCAGGTGGCACAGCTGATGCTACTAAGGTAGATCCCAGAAACCAGAAAGATTCCAGTCATCTGGGGGACCCAGACAACATCAGCCTGGAGAACTGAGCTGGTTGCTACCAAGCCAGGATCATGGCAGGAAGCTCAAGATGATTCTGCAGCCAAAGAGGTACAAGACAGGGAACTCCTCCCCCAGGAACTGGAACAAAGGGCACCAGGAGTGGGAATGGAGCTCAGTGTCTTGACTCTAAGCTCCTTTTATCCCTGCCAACTCTGAGGACCATCCCAGAGCCCGGAGTGTCACATGGGGGTCCCATGGTTCCAAGTGAAGAGAAAACAGCAATGTGAGGGCAGGGACCCTGGGGGCACTGGGTCTCCCAGGATGATCTTTGCTGCCTTAAATCCATGTTTATACACCTGGGAGTGCAGGAGAGCATTGCAAGGCTGCTTTAAGTATTTAATGTGAACACAGTATGTACTACATAAATGAAAGCAATAAACAGAATTCCAAGATTCAGGGGGTTTCATGCTTGAAATGATTGGAAGGCACAGCTGCAGGCCCCTGGGGCACAAAGTAGGATGATGACACACACTAAACTCTGTCTTCCTTGACTTTGCAGGACGATGCTGAAAGAGCAGTACATTGATAAAACACGCGTTGCTGTGTTTGGGAAGGTGAGTCTGTGCTGGCTTTTGTCCAAACACTCCTCAAGGGTGGAGCGCTGAAGCACCACCTGGCCTCGTGCTGATTTATTGGGGATGCCCGTGGCCTAGTGGTGTGAGAAACTCTTAAGGGCAAGAGGTTTGGTGCTTAGGATTGCAGCACTGGGAGCTTCTGCTTGATCACCTCATGTGCCAGTGTTTCCTTTTATGTTCTCAGGAAGGAAATGAAAAAGCGAGGTCCCCATTGGAGAGCTCTATTGGGTTCTGATTTATATCCTGGTATGCCAGCCTCAGTTCTTGGGGTGGCAGCCCAGGAAAGAAGGCAGGAACCTATTTGGGGATATTTTCCTGTGCAGTCACTGCCATGCTTCTTACCAGGAGAGGAGGGTGTGGGGACAATTCATGCAATGGACTGTCAAACCACAGAAGCATTCATCTAGGGCCCATGTCAGATGCTCTGGCCTGGGACAGGCAGGCCGCAGCAACCCACAGTAGGGAGTTAGGTCCCTGGAAAGCCACCTGCTATTGCACTGGCACACAGCCTGCTTCTAAGATGCCCTGGTCCTGCACCCTCTTGGTTGAAAGAAGACAAGAGCACAGTGGATCCACACAGCTCTCCCTTCCCTCTGGGAGGACAACTCATAGCACAGGACCTCCCACAGAGCCTCCCCTGACTCCACAGTAACTAAAGGTTTGAGGAGGCAGGCAGTGAAGCATCGCTCACATCATCACCTCCAAAACCTCCAAGTCAGGCGTTTTAAGATTTATTTATTTGAAAGTCAGAGAGGGAGAGACAGAGATCTTCCATCCATTCACTCCCCAAATGGCCACAATGGCAGGGGCTGGGCCAGACCTGACACCAACCCCCAGCATCAGGGCAACACAGGAGCATAACCATTCACCCAGGTAGACACATGTGCTGGTGAATGTCCATCTCTCATAGGCGCCATGCTTAGTGTCTTGGTAGGCCAGCCCTCATGCCCTTTGCCACTGGTTCCCCTTTAGTCCTCTCTCAAAGTCACTGTCTTACCTGTGGTCAAGGCAGGTGCTTTATTGTTGCCCAAGTAGGGAGACCAGATGATAACCTGCCCCGTACCCCGTGTATTTCCTGGTCTACAACTCCATTTCCAGTCCATGTCACATTTAATCGTCACGCCACTTTACACTGAAGCCCCAAAGGTGGGAAGACTCGTATCACACAGTATTTAGTTGGAAAGGCATGTGCTTGTCATCTCTTTCTACAGCCCTCAAGCAATTTTTTCAAGTTAAAATATTTTTAGAAATGAACATTGTTGAAGTCCTGGATCTTACTGCACCTGAGGTTGTTTTCATGATGAACTACTGACACTTCCTCCTGCTTGTCTCTCCTCTCTCTCTTGTGCTCTTTCCTAGGATTATGGAGGGTACCTGAGCACTTACATCCTCCCAGCAAAGAGTGAAAATCAAGGTCAGACTTTCACCTGTGGCTCTGCTGTCTCTCCAATAACAGACTTCAAACTCTACGGTAAATGGCCTCGATAAGACCAAGGCCTTCCCATCTTAATGCCTCCCTAATTGTAGGCACCACTAGTCTGTAACAAACACCTGGGGCTTGTATGGCTGATGAGCTAAATCTCTAGGAAGAGGAGGGTGAGTCCCAAGTCATTTGTTTGGCATGGAAGTGGTCAATCCACTGATACCTGTCAAGCTCATTACCAACGTATGAGACTGGGAGTTCTAAAGCCTTGCATACATGTACACTGGAAGGAGGTTTGCTACAATCCACACCAGGGCTGCCCTTTCTCCCGGACGCTGGGCAGGGGCCCTGCATGGGGTGTTTGCCAGGAAAGTGTTAAGTGAGAAGTGCTGGGGAGGTTGAGAGAATCGCTATTGGAGGGTAAACCCTCAGAGATCTACATAGCTCAGGTCTGTCTTCCTTCCTCCCTGGCCAGCACCTGTCCTTAGAGAGGGAGGTTTGCTATGGGCTTGAGTTGTCTGGATGATTTAAGAGACTACCCAAGTGTGGAGCCAGCCTTCTGCCAGCCACACACAGGACTTCATTGTCCCTGTCTGGAGGTTCAAGCTCCCTGAATTCTCCTCTTTCTGGTCATCAGCCACTTTTCTGATTGTGAATGACTTTGTGATACTACCTTGCTTTTCTAAATGTGCCAAGAGGTCTTGCTTGTGGTCCTGAGAAGTTGCATTCAGGTCATGGCTGCCTGGCAGTCAGGCTATTAGCTCCAACTGGCCCTGTGCTAAGCAGAGATGATGCACAAGTTAGGGGGAGCTTCTTATGGCTGGTCGACTGTGACCTGCCCAACTACCAGCACTAGCATGTTTAAAGTTTAGTGTTCCCTTTGGCTCCTGTCACTGCTCTCTCCCTACCATGCCAGCTGAGCCCTGTGCCCCATCTCAGCACTTGCTGGCTCCAGGACACAATCCAGGGACCACTTTGGGTCCAGCAGCTGCTCAGATGTGCCCAGTTCTACAAAGGGCTCTTTCTAATGTATATGTCAACTTAACTGAACAACAACTCCCCCAGTTCAAAATGTGAATCGCTTCAAGAATCATTTTCCCAGGGGGAATACTGGTGGCATTTTCAAATTCAGTGAGACTTTACCTTTTTCAGCATGCTGTTGCAAATGTGGCTTATTCAAATGCACACAAATGCTGCCACCTCTGTCTGGATTATGACAGAGCCCAAGACTAGGAAGTCCTCCTCTTGTCTCACTGATGCACTCAGGATTTCTGAGCATGTGAAGAGCTCCCCCTGCTTGCCTTGCCCAATAGGGCAGCCCCCAGCATAGCAGTCAAGATTGGGATTGAGCAGGGACATGACCAGACCTTTAAATCCTGATGGAAATGTGCACTGTTGCCTCTCCTCCGAGGTGAGATGAAGGAAGGGGTTAGCCTGTTTATTTAGGATTCAGATGAATTATTTTACTTTCTTTGTCCTGATAAAAAAAAATTCACCCACCAAAATTTACACATTTAAATGTTACTATTGTGCTATGCAGTTACCTACAAGAGGACCCAAGAGACTCAGATGATGTGTTTAACATTTATCTATTTGAAAGAGGGTTACAACTAACTGATAGAATAAATAAAGAGGAGAGTGATCCAACATGGGAAGTGAGATACTCAGCAGACTCATAGAATGGCAGATGTCCTAAATAGCACTCTGGCCTCAGAATCAGCCCTAAAGGTATCCCGATCTGGCTGAAAAGCCCATGAGAGTATTTCAGGCATGGAAAGCCAAGACACTCTGGCAAAAAGATCTCTGTGAGTGAGATCCCAGTGGAAAGAACAGGTCTTCAAAGAGGGAGGTACCTTTCTCTGAAGGGAGGAGAGAACCTCCACTTAGACTATGACCTTGTCTAAACAAGATAAGAGTCGGAGAACTCAAGGGGCTTCCATAGCCTTGGAAACTCATGACTGGTGCATAGGGAGATTACTGATGCCATAAACAGGAGTGTCAATTTGTAAAGTCAACAACAGGAGTCACTGTGCACTTACTCCTCATGTAGGATCTCTGTCCTTAATGTGCTGTACATTGAGGCTTAATGCTATAACGAGTACTCAAACAGTATATTTCATTTTGTGTTTCTATGGGGGTGCAAACGGTTGAAATCTTTACTTAATGTACACTAAACTGATCTTCTGTTAAAAAAAAATTATCAATTCCCAACTTGACTCTCACTGGGATTAAACATGACAATAGGTCTGATCTGATTTCATCATCATTTAAAAAAAATCATCTATTATTTTTCACTTTATGTTTCTGTGTGGGAGCAAACTGTTGAAATCCTTACTTAATGTATACTAAGCTGATCTTCTGTATATTAAGATAATCAAAAATGAATCTTGATGTGAATGGAAGGGGAGAGGGAGTGGAAAAGGGGAGGGTTGTGGGTGGGAGGGACGGTATAAGGGGGAAGCCATTGTAATCCATAAGTCGTACTTTGGAAATTTATATTCATTAAATAAAAGATAAAAAAAAAGAAAGAAAGAACGAGGGTTACAGAGCGAGGGAGATCATCTATCTACTGATTCACTCAGAGCTAGCCCAGTCCAAAACCAGGCATGTCAGCTGGGTCTCCCACAGGAGTGGCAGGGGCTCAAGCACTTGGCCATCATCTGCTGCTTTCACAGGGAGCTGGATCAGAAGTGAGGCAGCTGGAACTCAAACCAGTGCCCATGTTACAGGCGATGGCTTAATCTGTTACACCACAGTTTTGGCCCCTCAGATGGTGTTTTGAAAAACCAAATTTGCTGCTCAGGCAGGAGAAGACCCACCCCACATGCCCTCACCCCCACGTCAGGGCTCCCCTGGAGTCTGAGTGCCCCACTCCCAGGGAGCCTTCTGTCAAGACCTAACTCCCTCTCTCTGCTCCTGTCCAGCTTCAGCATTTTCCGAGCGGTACTTGGGCCTCCATGGACTTGACAACAGAGCGTATGAGGTAGGTGTGGACAAAACTGGTTTAATTTCATGACATCAGTCAGCCCCTCTCTCCCATCCCTTGAGCCCTAACCCACCTGTAACTTTCTCCCTTATTCTGAGGCCCAGTATAGCTTTTTTTGGTTCATTCTACTTCTATAATAGGGCTTCCAAGAAGCAGAGAGCACTGAGAACATCTCTGTTCCTACCAAGTCCTTTGACCGTCCATGTTTCTGGCTTCTCCACTTTGGGAGGCTAAGCTGCTGACTGCACTACGGACAACGCCTCTGTTCTGACCTACTCAATCAGAGCTGTCCAGTTGACTCAGTGTGGCCTTTCATCAGCCCTGTGTGGGGTGGGAGCCTGCAGCACTGTGCAACCTTGAAGCTTTTCCATGGATAATGGAGTGGAGTTTGCTCTGGGTGTCATCCCCCAAGGGCACCTGTGATACACTGACCTTTGGGACAACTCCTTTTCCTCCTACACCAAGAGCTGAGCATAAAAGAAAGCTGAGCTCTGCTGTACATTTCACTGATGTGTAGGGCTTCCCCTATACCTCAGTTCCCTTCCCCATCGTCACACATTGCCACCTGCCCTGCAGCCCACTCACTCTCGCCCTTGTCCCTGCAGATGACCAAGGTGGCTCATCGAGTGTCAGCGCTGGAGGGACAGCAGTTTCTGCTCATTCATGCCACTGCTGATGGTGAGGACCAAGAGCACTCACCCCGGCGTAGCTGCTCAAAGTACCCCCCATTGTCGTGGGGTGGGTTTTGATAAACACTTTCTTTTTTTACAGAAAAAATTCATTTCCAGCACACAGCAGAACTCATTACACAACTAATTAAGGGAAAGGCTAATTACAGCTTACAGGTACTGTATCCATATCTACTTTACCTATTTTGTTTTATGATTGGAGTGGGATGTTTCTTTTCATGGAGAAAATCTGATAGTGTTCAGAACATCGGCACAGGAGTATCTGCTGAGATGCAAAGTTGTTGGGAATTCACATCAGATCTAAACATTAGCACAAGCTTACTCCTTCTTCCAGACCAGCACTGAGGCTGTGATTAAACCCCTTTAGAAGTAACTCCCACCACCCCTTGCTCTTACCCAGGCCAATGGGCAAGGCTAGGGACTGTTAGTGGGTCCTGGGCAACACTGCACAAAGTTCAGTGCTGGCTGCATGTCCCACATCATCTATGACTTACCAGTATTAACAGTGCTGCCCAGAATCCAACTAAGAACATAGCACTGTACAGGGCTGCTTCTAGAAGCTTCTTTTATTTCCCACTTATGTTTTGATTCCTTTAATTTAATGGGAGGGTTCCTTAGCCAGGGACCCCTCTCCTTCATAGAAGCTCTGACCAGTGCCTGCCTCTGTCCCCAGCATTTCCAGCCCATGGAGGGCCACATGGGGTGGGGGTATACAGAGAGCTTCTGATAAAAGTGATTTTGGCCTGAGTGCTGAATGGGAAGGAAATTTGTATGCACTTGGTGGATTCCAAGGTAGATCTCATGACAGCTGATGAATTCAGTCAGCTGGGAGCTGAACAGCAGTGTCAGTGAAAGGGACTCACTTCTGCATGTGTGATAGAGAGCGTCCTGACAGACACTCACTGAGTTAATAGCCTTGACCAGGGAAGACCTGAGGCAAGAGGACACAGGCTTCCTGCACTATGCCTGTCAAAAAAAAAAAAGGGCAGAGTGGACAGAGAGAGAAAGGTCTTCCTTTTGCCGTTGGTTCACCCTCCAATGGCCGCTGCGGCTGGCGTACCGTGCTGATCTGAAGCCAGGAGCCAGGTGCTTCTCCTGGTCTCCCATGCGGGCGCAGGGCCCAAGCACTTGGGCCATCCTCCACTGCACTCCCTGGCCATATTAGAGAGCTGGCCTGGAAGAGGGGCAACCGGGACAGAATCCGGCGCCCCGACCGGGACTAGAACCCGGTGTGCCGGCGCCGGCCAGCACTATGCCCTTTTGTACTATGTGATGTTTAATTGACATGTGATAGCCTAAACTCATTAACAAATACTTAAAATAAAGGTGAATGCCACCCTCTAAAGACATAAAAGGAAGACAGGATTCACAGCATAGAAAGCAGTCTGGATAAAAAGCCCATAGAAGACCCAAGATGGCTGAATAGGAAAAAAAAAGTGCTGATTTTGACCAAGAAAGCCAGAGAAATAAGGAAGGAACTGCATTTCCAGGGGACTGTCAGAAGTCCTTGGCACACATAGCATACACCTCTGGATATTCACTAAACATACAGGCATTCCAGTAAGCCATAAAGGCACATTTCCAAGAATAAAACTTTCAGAAGAAATACCAAGTATTTTTCCAGATCTGTAAAACTAAACCTAGAAAAACAAGAAACATGAACAAGGAAGACAGTATGACTCCCCAAAAGGAATACAGTAATACTTCAATATTAGACTGTGAAGATGAGGAGGTGGACAAAATCCTTAAAAAGGAATTCAAAAGAATGATTCTAAGAGAACTCAAAAACACAACAAATCAATCAAATGACTTAAAGAAATCTGTACATAGCATAGGTGAGAAATTCTCCTGGAAGATATAGAGATTAAAGAAAAATAAATATTTCATATTTAAAATGAAGAATCTACAGACTTAGGTAAAAGAAAGGATATCCAAGTAGAAGGTTCCAAGATGGCGGAATATGGAGGGAGCTTACTGTTCTAGCCCAGGAACAGATAGTCTAAAAAAGTGGAGATAGTGGGGCCTCAGAGAAGAATAACTTTACTGAATTAGAGGCACACAGTGGACCTACGTGGAGGGTGTGGGTGCCCACAGCTCGGGACTCCAAGAGCCAAGAGCCTACACACCAGTGCTGGAAAGTGAGGTGAGATGAGACCGCAGCAGCCCAAGCCACTGGTGAAAGAGTGGCAGGAAGAACCTCAAAGGAACGAGGCTTTTGAAGCCTGATGGGGGGAAGCATACCAGCCAAACTAGAGGAGGAAAAAAAGGACAAGATGGACACGTTTCTCTCTGATCAGTTTACAAAGGTGTTCTGTGACAAGCTGATAGAGTGGGTGCCATTTTACACATACGTAACAGCTGTGCCAACAATCAGCTGCATGGAGACTCCTGACTCTGGTGGGCAGACGCCACAAGCTCAGGGGTTCCTGGTTACCAGGTGAGAGACATTGCTGGGGAAGCTGAACTTACACTGAGGACTGAACAGATCCTGTGTGTGGTCCTTGGGACACTGCAGATGAATATTATAGTCCCTGGGGCTAGCACTCAGGCACTGGTCACCACTGAGGAGAAGAACTCAGATTAGCAGAATATACTTCCCTTCTTATAAAAAAAGAGAGAGAGAAGATTTACCACGCCAAACCTGGGTGTGTCACTTTAGGCACACCCTTAACCCTGGAGAACTGAACAGAGCTCTCTGGCCACACCCACTACAAGCCTCTAGAGATTCACTGAAAGCAGACAGTCCACTTATCTACAGTCATAGTACAATGAGAAAAGCCACCACAGTGGTGGTGGTGGTGGTGGGGAACCAAGTATCTCTACAAATGCCAAACAAGAAACACAAAAACTCAAGAATAAAGAAGACAACATAAAAGAACACGACTCTTCAATACAAGATTATGAAGATAATGAGATGCAAGAAATTGATAAGATTATATAGAAGTAATAATAATAGAAAAATAAGAAAATGCATAACCTACTGAAATCAATGCAGGACATGAAAGAAAACCATGAATTGAAATCTTGAGGAATTAAATTGAAATGAAGAATTCAATAGAACGAATAAAAAATGCAGTGGAGAGCCTTAAAAACAGAATCAGTGAGACAGAAAAGTTGCGGGATATAAAATCAACATACAAAAATGGCATTTGTATACACAAATATGCCATGAGTAAGAATTTTAAGAGCAGTCCCATTCACTACAAAAAAATTAAATATCTTGAGGTAAATTTAACCAAAGACATGAAAGAGCCCTGCAATGACAATTAACAAGAGACCTCGAATAGCTAAAGCAATCTTGTACAACAAAAACAAAGCCGGAGGCATCACAATACCAGACTTCAGGACATACTACAGGGCAGTTGTAATCAAAACAGCATGGTACTGGTACAGAAACAGATGGATAGACCAATGGAACAGAATTGAAACACCAGAAATCAATCCAAACATCTACAGCCAACTTATATTTGATCAAGGATCTAAAACTAATTCCTGCAGCAAGGACAGTCTATTCAATAAATGGTGCTGGGAAAACTGGATTTCCACGTGCAGAATCATGAAGCAAGACCCCTACCTTACACCTTACACAAAAATCCACTCAACGTGGATTAAAGACCTAAATCTTCGTCCTGACACCATTAAGTTATTAGAGAACACTGGAGAAACCCTTCAAGATATTGGCACAGGCAAAGAATTTCTGGAAAAGACCCGGGAGGCACAGACAGTCAAAGCCAAAATCAACTATTGGGATTGCATCAAATTGAGAAGTTTCTGTACTGCAAAAGAAACAGTCAGGAGAGTGAAGAGACAACCGACAGAATGGGAAAAAATATTTGCAAACTATGCAACAGATAAAGGGTTAATAACCAGAATCTACAAAGAGATCAAGAAACTCCACAAAAACAAAACCAACAACCCTCTTAAGAGATGGGCCAAGGACTTCAATAGACATTTTTCAAAAGAGGAAATCCAAATGGCCAACAGGCACATGAAGAAATGTTCAAGGTCACTAGCAATCAGGGAAATGCAAATCAAAACCACAATGAGGTTTCACCTCACCCCGGTTAGAATGGCTCACATACAGAAATCTACCAACAACAGATGCTGGCGAGGATGTGGGGAAAAAGGGACACTAACCCACTGTTGGTGGGAATGCAAACTGGTCAAGCCACTATGGAAATCAGTCTGGAGATTCTTCAGAAACCTGAATATAACCCTACCATTCGACCCAGCCATCCCACTCCTTGGAATTTACCCAAAGGAGTTTAAATTGATAAAGAAAAAAGCGGTCTGCACCCTAATGTTTATTGCAGCACAATTCACAATAGCCAAGACCTGGAACCAACCTAAATGCCCATCAATGGTAGACTGGATAAAGAAATTATGGGATATGTATTCTTTAGAATACTATACCGCAGTAAGAAACAACGAAATCCAGTCATTTGCAACAAAATGGAGGAATCTGGAACACATCATGCTGAGTGAAGTAAGCCAGTCCCAAAGGGACAAATACCATATGTTCTCCCTGATCGGTGACAACTGACTGAACACCAAAAAGGAAACCTCCTGAAGTGAAATGGACACTATGAGAAATGGTGACTTGATCAGCATAGCCCTGACTGCTAATGGACAACTTAATACATTATCCCTCTTAGTATTTTTTTTGTCTGTTCTACTTAATATGACTGGTTTAATTCTGTAATTATCACACAGTTATTCTTAAGTGTTGAAAATTAACTGAAATGTGATCCCTGTTAAACATAAAAGTGGGAATAAGAGAGGGAAGAGATGTATAATTTGGGGCATGCTCGGGCTGACTTGCCCCAATTGGTAGAGTTGGAAACATACCAGGGGATTCCAATTCAATCCCATCAAGGTGGCATGTGCCAATGCCATCTCACTATTCCAAGTGATCAATTTCAGTTCACAATTGATCATAATGAAAGGACTAAGAGTCAAAGGGAGCACATAAACAAGTCTAGTATCTGCTAACACTAACCGATAGAATAAATAAAGGGGAGAGTGATCCAACATGGGAAGTGAGATACTCAGCAGACTCATAGAATGGCGGATGTCCTAAATAGCACTCTGGCCTCAAAATCAGCCCTAAAGGCACTCAGATCTGGCTGAAAAGCCCATGAGAGCATTTCAGGCATGGAAAGCCAAGACACTCTGGCAAAAAGATCTCTGTGAGTGAGATCCCAGTGGAAAGAACAGGTCTTCAAAGAGGGAGGTGCCTTTCTCTGAAGGGAGGAGAGAACCTCCACTTAGACTATGACCGTGTCTAAACAAGATAAGAGTCGGAGAACTCAAGGGGCTTCCATAGCCTTGGAAACTCATGACTGGTGCATGGGGAGATTACTGATGCCATAAACAGGAGTGTCAATTTGTAAAGTCAACAACAGGAGTCACTGTGCACTTACTCCTCATGTAGGATCTCTGTCCTTAATGTGCTGTACACTGAGGCTTAATGCTATAACGAATACTCAAACAGTATATTTCACTTTGTGTTTCTATGGGGGTGCAAACGGTTGAAATCTTTACTTAATGTACACTAAACTGATCTTCTGTAAAAAAAAAAAAAAAAAGAAATTATCAATTCCCAACTTGACTCTCACTGGGATTAAACATGACAATAGGTCTGATCTGATTTCATCATTTAAAAAAAATCATCTATTATTTTTCACTTTATGTTTCTGTGTGGGAGCAAACTGTTGAAATCCTTACTTAAGGTATACTAAGCTGATCTTCTGTATATTAAGATAATCGAAAATGAATCTTGATGTGAATGGAAGGGGAGAGGGAGTGGGAAAGGGGAGGGTTGTGGGTGGGAGGGACGGTATGGGGGGGAAGCCATTGTAACCCATGAGTCGTACTTTGGAAATTTATATTCATTAAATAAAAGATAAAAAAAAAAGAAAGCAAAAAAAAAAACATTATGGAAAGAAATAGAAAACACGGAAAAGTGGGAAAATCATCTATAATATCAAAATGTCCACACAACCCCAAGCAATTTACAGATTCAACATGATGCTAATCAAAATATCAAAGACATTCTTCTCAGATTTAGAAAAATTGACCCTAAAGTTCATATGGAAAAAAAAGACCCTGAATAGCTAAAGTAATTGTAAACAATAAAAGCACAGCTGAAGGCATCATGGTATCAGATTTCAAGACATATTACAGGACAGTTATAATCAAAATAGCCTGGTACTGGCACAGAAATACATATATAACACATTAGAAACCCCAGAAATTAATCTATGCATCTGCAACCAACTGATCTTTGACAAATGTGCTAAAATCATTCCCTAGAATAAAGGACAGTTTCTTCAAGATATGATGTTGGGAAAATTGGATCTCTGCATACAGAAGTATGAAACAAGACCCTTGCCTTACACCTCAAACAAAAATAAACCCACAATGGATCAAAGATCTAAACCTAAAACTTGTGGCGCAGTGGGTTGATGCTCCACCTGCAGCACCGGCACCTCATATGGACACCGGTTCTGGTCCCAGCTGCTCCTCTTCCAATTCAGCTCTCTGCTGTGGCCTGGGAGAGCTGTGGAGGATGGCCCAAGTGCTTGGGCCCCTGTACCCATATGGGAGACTTGGAAGAAACACCTGGCTCCTGGCTTTGGATCAGCTCAGCTCCTGCTGTTGCAGCCATATGGGGAGTGAACTAACAGAAGGAAAATCTTTCTCTGTCTCTCCCTCTGTCTGTAACTCTACCTCTCAAATAAATAGAAATCTTTAAAAATAAATAAATAAACCTAAGACTTGAAAGCATCAAATACTAGAGGAAAACATACTGGAAACATTGCAAGACATTGGACTAGACAGACTTTTTGGATAAGGCCCCAGAGAAACAGGCAATAAAAGCAAAAGTAGACAAATGGGATTGTATCAAGCTAAGAAACTTCTACACAGCCAAGAAAACACTCAACAAAGTAAAGAGGCAACCAACAAAGTGAGAGAAAATATTTGTAAACTATATATCTGATAATGGATTAATATATAAAATACATAAGGAGCTGAGAAAACAACAACAAAAAATCCAGTTAAGAAATGGGCAAGACATGAAAAGGTAATTTTCAAACGATGAAATACAAATGGCCAACAGACACATGAAGAAATGCTCAGGATCACTTCCCGTCAAGGAAATGCAAATCAAAACCACAATGACCTAACCTTACCCCAGTTAGAGTAGCTCTCATATAGAAATCAGCAAGCAATAAATGCAGGATGGGATATAGGGGAAAATGTACCCTAATCCCCTGTTGTTGGGAATGTAAACTAGTATAGCCATTGTAGAAGACAGTATGGAGATACCTCAGAGAGCTGAAAACAGATATACCATATGACTCAGAAATTCCACTCCTGGAATTTACCCAATGGAAATGGAATTAGCTTATGAAAAAGTTATTTGTAACCCCATGTTGACTGCAGCTCAATTCACAATAACTAAGATATGGAATCAACCCAGATGTCCAAGTAATAACTGGATAAAGAAGATGTGGTATATATATAACATACACACACACACACAATGGAATACTACTCATCCATAAAACAGAAATGAAGTCCTGTGTTTTGCAACAAAATGGATGCAATTGGAGACCACTATTCTTAGTGAATCAATAAGCCAGACCCAAATATTATGTTTTCTTTTATTTGTCTTAGCTAATACAAAGTACCAAAAAAATGTAATGTATGGGTGAAATTTATATCGTGAGAGTTTTGTTGTTGTTGTTAATAGCCTTTGTATATACTCCTGTGGAACACTGGTCTGTTTTCTACTTGTTAAATTCCTTATTTCATGGAGGATTAAGCCTGTGATTATAAAGTAAATTCAAAGTTTCTTATTGCAAACATTAAAAGGAAAAATGAAAAAGGAAGGTAGGAGTATCATTCTGTTTAAAATTATACATGAGGGCCGGCGCTGCGGCTCACTAGGCTAATCCTCCGCCTAGCGGCGCCGGCACACCAGGTTCTAGTCCCGGTCGCCCCTCTTCCAGGCCAGCTCTCTGCTGTGGCCCGGGAGTGCAGTGGAGGATGGCCCAAGTGTTTGGGCCCTGCACCCCATGGGAGACCAGGATAAGCGCCTGGCTCCTGCCTTCGGATCAGCGCGGTGCGCCAGCCGCGGTGGCCATTGGAGGGTGAACCAACGGCAAAGGAAGACCTTTCTCTCTGTCTCTCTCTCGCACTGTCCACTCTGTCAAAAAAAAATAATACATATGAAATCTATTCTGAATGTGGGCTTCCAAGTCAGATTTGGTCATCATGCATGCAGAATCACTTATATAGAAGTGGCATAGGGGGTCTGTGGTGTGGTGCAAAGGGTTAAGCTGCGCCTCCAAGGCTGGTATCCCATATGAGCACCAGTTGTGTCCTGGCTGCTCCACTCTGGATCCAACAGCCTGCTAATGCACCTGCGAAAGAAATAAAAGATAACCAACATACTTGGGTCCTTCCACCCCCATGGGAAACCCGGATGAAACTCATAGCTTCAGCCTGGCTCAGCCCTTGCCATTGCAGCCATTTGGGGAGTGAACCAGTGAATGGAGAATTCTCTCCCACTAACTCTTTCAAATACCTAATTTAAAAAAAAAAAAAAAAGGGGGAAGTGCACAGTGCTTATGGGAAACAGGCCGTGTCATTGCAGAAGTGATAGAGTAAGTAGAAACCACCCTTGGCATCACCGACACAGCAGCAACAAGTCTCTGTTCCGGCTTTCTCCAGGCACCAGGCTTTCGGCCTCAGTGTTTTACAGGTATCCTATTGTTTAATTCTCACAAAATTTCCTGAACCAGATTATCAACCCATCTGACACACCTGGAAACCGAGGCCCAGAAAAGTTAGTTATCCACAGCCATACACTGAGTGTGTAGCCAGGCAGGCTGCCAAGGCAGGACTACAACAGGGGTCGGCACATAAAGGAGAGTTTCCCACACTCAGAGGGTTACTCTGATAGCTCAGAATGGCTCATAATTCCTAATGCCCTTGAGAGCTGGCTGCAGCCTCAGTAGACCTGAGGCGTGTATCCAAGTCGCACATTCAATGAGCAGATGTAGACCAGGAAGAGCCTATTGAGTGAGGTGTTTTCTCATTTATTCCACTATTCTGATGGGCTGCCCACTGCATATGGCGGGAGCGAGGTGACATGGGTGAAAAGAGGTGTAGGGAATGCTGGCTGCTCTCTCCAAGCAGGTGGTTCATTTCCATGCACAGGAGAAGGCGACTCCAGGCAAAGCTTCCAGGAAGAAAGCATTTTCAGCAGGACTGACACCATTAGGAAATTGGTTTTGCCAACTAAAATTCAGGCTTGCATGGTCCTGGGTCTCACTAAGCTCCTCATCTCTTGTGTGTCCCCAGGAAGGGTAGACTTTTATTAACTTCTCCCTGCCTCCCTCACAGATATACCCAGATGAAAGCCATTACTTTAATAGCGCCTTCCTCAAGCAGCATCTATACCGGTCCATCATCAACTTCTTTGTGGAATGCTTCAGGATTCAGGACAAGCTACCCACAGTCACAACAAAAGAAGATGAAGAGGAGGACTAGTCACAAGTCAGCTGGAAGCACAGACGTGGCTCTTTCTACAACTATATGCAACTGAAGAATTTCCCTGCCCCTCTCTCTCCCCTTCAAGGGGTGGGTGGGGGCAGCGGTGTTCACGTTCCATAGCATGTGTCTCGGATACTGAAGGCAGCTTTGCTTGAGAAACAAGCTCCTTCCCCGGGTGGAGATGCGCCATGGGGCGTGATGGCTTCCACACTGCCTGGAACATGCCACATCAACAACATCGCCTCCTCCTGGCCCTGCCATGGCTGGCGCATCCCACAGCCCCTCCCCCAAGGAACAAAGGAAGGACAGATGGCAGCAAGGGCTCACTCGGAGCCCACAGGAAACCAGCCCTTAAATTCAAGCTATCAAACAGTAGCATTAAGACCCACCCTCTACATTAGAGTACTGTGTTCATGTCCACAGCATTACACCCTGTCTGATATAACTGTGCCAAGCAAACAAAAAGTGGAAGCAATTATAGCACAATTGTTTTAACAGTGTGTGTTCCTCTATTGGCTTGCTCCTTTCTGTAATTAGGAGATCTGACCTCATAAGGGGCTGCCCCAAGAAAACAGACCCTTTTCTGTACAAAGTACTACCATAGCTACACTAACGGTTAACCTTATAGAATTCATTCTTATTTTTCTGTGCTTTGGAAACTTCACACTCCATTGTCTCTGGTCATTGGTTGGTTTTTTTGTTGTTATTTTTTTTGCTTTGTTTGCTTTCTTTTCTTTAGTCAATATGCACCCGTTGGATTAAGGGGTAGATCAGAAGTAACTGCTCTCTCCCCAAGGTTATGGAGACATTGCAAACACTGAGGGGGGAACACCCAATAGGATTCACTAAAGGAAAATATATAATAAAAGCTCTCTCCCACTGAACTGCATTGGGATATGGCTGTATATTCCCCATTGTCTACTTACACATATACTTCAAACCATCCTTTTCCTTCTTGATCAGTTCTTAAGTCTTTTCAGGTGACATTTGGTTTAAAAAAAAAAAAAAGCGTGGATTCCACCCCCCAGGTCTGCTGTGTATGTTCAGGTCACTGGTGTCCTGAAGGGAAGTAGGGGAATGTGTCTGTCTCCAGTCCCGGGGATGGCTCACTGACCTTCCTACCATAAGCCTCAAGGTTGAAGCTGTTCTGCATTAGCCTTCTGAGATGCACGCTGACCAAATGTACAGCCGATGTTCCCAGTGTATATTTCATTTTGTTGTATATAAAGAAAGGAATGTGTGTCCAGCATTTGTGCAGTTGCCCGCCACCTCCCACAGCACTAACCTTGTGTTGAGCTTGCATGTGGACACTCTTTGGCTGATCTGGACTCTCTAGAAATGCTAGTTTGAAATATATCAATGACCATCATTTCCTTTTGAGCTTGTTGACAACCTGAATGTCAGTACTGATTTCTCCAGCTCCTGTCCTGCTGGGAGTGTCCCTGACATCCTGTCTGCAGAGGAGATGTGTCCATGTCGCTTTTTTGGTGTTTTGGGGTTTTGGTTTCATCCATATGAGCTTTGAACGTCAGTTGTACTTGGGTCGGTTAGAAGATTTCCTATTCCAGGACTTTTTGAAGGTGATGCATCACTATCTGTGAGGAGGACCGACCTGAATGCTACCTGATCATGCTTTTGCTGTTTCAATGGGCTTGACCAACTGCAAAGCCAATTCGTTCTGAAAGGGGAAGTCAGTTCTGGGCACAAGATCTGGTCAGAGGGAAGTGGGATGTGGCATGGTAGCATTTGTTCATCCATGGAATAAAACATTATTTTACCACTTGGATTGCTCTTTTCTTGTTTCTCCTCCACCATCTAGCTCATCTTAGTAAGTCTGCAAGGTTTCTCTAAGTTTTTAAAGCACCCACTGGGCCTCACCATGACTGATACATTACCATAATGATCCTATTATATGTTAAAGAAAAACTGCATCCTCCAGAATATTGATAGTTAAGAGTGATGGGACAAACCAAATACATTGAAGTCCCAAATCAATCACAGAAAATGCATTTGAGTTCTTTCTTGAACATGTTAAGTAGGAGATGGAGAGAGATTCTCTAAAATGGAGAATGAAATTGATTTTCAGTTGAGGCCATAGCTTAGCTAACTAGAAAACTTTAGAAATGCATCTTTATTTTGTTGTTAATTCAATAAATCTGCAGTAAACATGGCCTAGCCCTAAAGCAGAGGCATTGATTAATAAATGCTTCTAGATCATTGAGCAACCACTGTCTTGGAGACCACAGCTCAGCTCAATTACCCCTGCCAGAGAAGCTGACTCTGGTAACCCTTCTTGATCAAGATTCAAAAGCAGAAGATTTTTTTAAGCCAGAAGCAGCAAATGTCCTAGGAGTCCAATGAGCTCATTTGCCAACAGCATCACCATGAGCTACCATAGTCTCAACTAAAGGACGCTAACTCCCCATCTTGCTTTCCCATTGCTGAATCCATTCTTCCTAGACAAGGGTCCGATTTGTGGACAGGGTTGATGGTTGACCAAGAAAGCAAATGTTCCAACTTCTGAAAATCCTGGGTACAGCATGACATGATGGCCAGTCTAGACCCAAGGAAGGACGCTGAACACAACCAGGGAGGACCACACAGTTCCCTCATGGAAGGTATCTAGGGTGGCCTTCAGGAGGTACCTGTGTGGCCTCATCAGCACCCTGCAGCAGCTGCTGGGCTCCCTTTGTGGCCTGAAGTCTCCCCATGTCTTCCCTGTGTTGGGCATGAATAGCACAGTTTTTATTTTGGTTTTTAAACCAGCGTCTAAAATGTTTTTAAGAAATCTCAACCACACGGCAGAACTTGTGAGGCACCTCTGAGTTTCACAGCACCCAATGAGCACAGCCCCTACCCATGGGCTGAAGCTCTGTGGCATTTCCCAGGACATGGGCACCCACATATGCTGGGGGTCCTCTGTCTCCACTGGCCAGAAAACACGCCCCCTTCCTCCCCCACTAAACTAATAGTCCCAAAAACACTGATTGTGTTAAGGGCCTGATTGCCTTCAGGAAGCTCCCATTAAACACCCCAGCACTGTCCCAAAGGACACTGTCAAAAATCTCTCTTGGTCATCCTTCAGCACAGGGTGTGTGAGTGCTTAGAATGTGCCCTGCCCAAGAGAAAGGAACAGGAGCCTGGTGAGAGACTGGACAGGCAAATGCATAATGCCCAAACCAGAATTTAAACTACAACCCACAGCCTGCAGCAACCAGCCCCCAAACCAAACCACCACCCCTGCAGCAACTGGCCCAGATGCGACAAAATCAGTAACAGATTCCCTAGTTTTTGGCCCTACTTCCAACGTAGGACCAACTGGGAAAAGCCAAATAGAAATACCAATCCTGGGGCCGGCACTATGGCACAGCGGGTGAGGCCATCACCTGCAGTGCTGGCATCCCATATGGGTGCAGGTTTGAGAACCGGCTGCTCCACTTCCGATCCAGCTCTCTGCTATGGCCTGGGAAAGCAGAAGATGGTTCAAGCCCTTGGGCCCCTGCACTTACGTGGGAGACCCTACAAGAAGCTCCTGGCTCTGGATCAGCACAGCTCCGGCCATTGTGGTCAACTGGGAAGTGAACCAGAAGATGGAAGACCTCTCTCTCTCTCTGCCTCTCCTTCTCTCTCTGTATAACTTTTTCAAATAAATAATCTTGAAAAAAAATAAAGAAATTCCAATCCTACAGGATGCCACACTCCTAATTAGCCACCTCCAGCTTAGCCAGGCCAACAGTCTCCACTCAGGGCACATCCAAAGCCTTCCCTTTCTCCTACCACAAAGCTTTCCTGCTCCCCTGCCTGTCGGAGCTACTGCCAAACACATGGGAAAGTGACCGGCTCCACTGCTGTGAGCAGGCTGTGAATCAGCTCTGTTACTCTCATTCTGCTGGTGTGCTAGGTGAGCTGCCATTGACCGGGCAGCTCAAACAACAAGAACTTATTTCTCATGGTTCGGGAGGCCAGGGTCCAAGATCAGATTGTGAGCTGATTTGGTTCCCTGCTAAGAATTTGTTTCTTGGCTTGCAGAGACCTGCCTTCTGCATCCTCACAAGGCAGACAGAGGTCTATTCTTGCAAGAACACCCACCCTGAGACCCCCACCCTCATGACCTCAGAACTCTAATCACCAATATCCCCCAATCTTCAAACACCATCTCCCTGGGGCTTAGGGCCTCAACAGTGAGTTTGGAGAGACGTGAGCATTCGGTCCATGACAGGTGGTCTTCCTTTTCTCACACTGGCAACCCAGGGAGAAGGTCAATGTTGCTCTTCTCCTCTAGAGAGAAGAGCTGCATGAGGGGCATGTGGGGACTCTGGGGACAGGGAAAGCGCGGAAGGAAGAGGGTGGAGCCCCTGCGATTCTGGCTCATCTTTGGGCTTACAGAGCACCCAGACGGTCTGAAGGTCTCCCTTCTGTAAATCACAAGTTCCAAGACAGTCATTCACCAACTTAATGCAGCCACTTAGGGTACTCAGACTGGGACTCTAAACCCCAGAGAAGGCAGGAAATTGCCCAGACCACACAGGAAAGCAGCTGCAGCCTTCCAGTCATCTTCACCCACATTTCCTTACTGATGAGCTCCCAGCCCTGGCCTAGAGGTCCCTGCATTAACCGGTTGCCTTTCCCAGCAGAGCTAGGTTGGCAAGTCCGGGGCTCACCTCCCTGGTGAGTTATTTGCCCTCTATTTAGAATGAAGTTTCTTTACCTCCCTGTGACGGTTTGGCTTGGGAAGTCTTTGTAAGGGCCATCCTGGTACTACAGAGTGCTAAGCAGCCTCTACCCACTAGAAGTTGGCAGCACCCCCAATCCCCTTAGATGCTGCCCTAAGTCCCTTGGGGGACAAAATGGAAGCACAAGGGTGCAGGCACGTGGGTGAGACCTGGTGGAGAAGTGCAAGTTCCTATGAGCTGCGAGGGGTATGGAAAAGCAGAGACTGCGGGCGTCTGGGATGAACACTGCACTCATCTTGGGTTTTCAGGATGAGGCCCTTTCCTGCCCTCTGGTTTGGTTGTTTTTCCCTTTTCCCTTTTGTGCTTTTTTCTGGTCCTGCTCTTCTCATTTTCTTGTGGCTGCTGTGGCCACTACCACAACCTAGAGGGCTTAGAACACAACGCTTATTCTCTCAAGTACTGGAGGCCAGAATCCATTCCACTGGGCCAGACTCACAGTGTGGGCATGGCCAGCACTGCTTGGCTTGTGGCCCCATCTCTCGTCTCTCCAACCTCTGTCTTCCTGGTGCCATCACTGACTCCTCCTCTGCCTCCTTCTGAGAGGATCCATGCAATTGCATTTGTGGCCCAACCAATAATCCAAGATCACCTCCACATTTCAAGATCCTAAAATTTAGGGAAGAGCCAAGATGGCTGAACAGGAAAATGATGTGCTGATTCTGACCACAGGAAAGGAGAAAAAAGGAGGAACTGCATTCCCAGGGGACAGATGGAGAGAAGTTTGCAATGGAAAAACTAAAAGAAGAGACATGCCGGGGCCGGCACTGTGGCGCAGCAGGTTAACGCCCTGGCCTGAAGAGCTGACATCCTATATGGGCGCCAGTTCTAGTCCCGGCTGCTCCTCTTCCAATCCAGCTCTCTGCTATGGCCTGGGAAAGCAGTAGATGGCCCAAGTCCTTGGGCCCCTGCACCCGCGTGGGAGACCCTGAAGAAGATCCTGGCTCCTGGCTTCGGATCAGCACAGCTCCAGCCGTTGCGGTCAATTGGGGAGTGAACCAGCAGATGGAAGACCTCTCTCTATATATGCCTCTCTCCTCTCTGTGTAACTGACTCTAAAATAAGTAAATGAATCTTAAAAAAGAGAGAGAGAGAGAGAGAGGGAGGGAGGGAGGGGCCATAGAGTTCAATGACGAGGCAGCAAGCAGGACACCAGCAGGGACTCCTGCAGCCAGCCAGCAGCCGGAGGGAACACTCTCTCCTTGGAGCAAGACTCCAAGCTACCAGCAGAGAGGACATGCTCCTTCTAAGGCAAGTAGGAGGCTGCTGCAGCCCACACAACTGGGCGATCCTAGCAGAGGTATAAATCCGTGGCCCCCACTGCTTTTCAGCCTGCTCTGGAGGACTGGCAGGGGTCAGGGTACCCCCTGAGCTCTGTAAAGCTCTCACCTTCCCCTCACTCTATCACACACCCTGACTCGACAAGGCAGAGAACCAACCAACCTCCAGCAGTTAGGCAGCTGGCTCTGGGAACACCACAGCTCTATTGGTGGATGGAGGAGGCTCGTGGGGCCAAGAGCAAACCCCTGCTCACTGTGACTGTGGGAATTCTGTGACTGCATTAGGGCACGTGGTAGGGTGTGGCTGTGTCTTTGGCCATTACTGAGTCTGGCTTCAGAGGCTCAGGGTTCCTTGTTCACACTGAGGAGTGCACAGATCCTGTGTGTGGTTCATGCACCTGTGTGGGTGAGGCGCCCTAGGCACTGTGGGCTCATCCCGAGTGGTTGGTTCACCTTGGCAGAGAGGGACTTATACTGTGATCACACCAGCCCACAAATTCATACCCTCCCCACTCCCGACAGAGGTGATCTACCACGCCCTACCTGGGTGTCACCCTTGACACATGCCCCAGTCTCAAGCACTGGCTGGAGCTCCCTTTGGGTATACAGACACTACTAATCCACAGGGGCATGCTTCAAATATCAAAGTCGTGAGAGGAGAAAACCAGCAGTGCTTCCACAAATGTCAAAAAATAAACACAGAAATATAAGAAATATGAACAAGAAAGAAAATGACCCCCCAAAAGGAACACAACACTTCAATATTAGAA